TGGCCAGGTTGCCCGCCTCCATTTCCTTGTGCCTGCTCCCCATTTTGGATAGGTTGCTCGCCTCCAGCCTGCCCGCCTCCATTTTCTTGTGCCTGTCCCCCATTATGGCCAGGTTGCCTGTCTCCAGCCTGTTCGCCTCCATTTCCTTGTGCCTGCTCCCCATTTTGGCCACGTTGCTCGTTCCTTGGATACAAGTAAATGATCACAGCTACCACAAAACAGGATGTCGTGATAGCTACATTAAGTTTGAAAAGTCCTCGAAAACTGCCAAACGTGAGTTCGTCTGGATCAGGTGCACGTCCTGCATTGTTACAGTTGTTTTCATATCCTACTCCGATCCATTTCTTCTCAATTTGATTGATGGTATCTCCTCCTATTACACTGAGGATTGCCTTTGAGATGTCCCCAACTAGAGGAGATCCTTTTGGAAATGCCTGTTAAAGAAATTTATTGTTCTATTAGCTTATATGCATAGCTCTAGAGCACTTCATATCCTGCTATGGTGATGCCTAAAGGAAAATCAAAATTGAACCCATGTGGTATCAAAGAAGTCCAGATTGTCGTTAGCATAAGTGTTTTAGAAAGTCATTCTGATGTGCATAAATAAAATTATGTGGAAGCACATGTTATTTAGTAAGAGCTAGGAAATCCAAAATTTTCTTGGTCTAAGTTTTAAGAGCTCATTTAGATTTATGTATATGAACGTACGTGGCAGCACATGTTGACTCGAGGAGTCGGGGAACTAATAAACAACAGTGCTGCGCCTAACTACTTAGCACCCATTCGTTGTGCGTAACTGAACATGCATAATTGGATTCTATATCTATGTGATAAACAAAGATAATTTTTGCTTGTATGGGCGAGTTGTGCACAATTTCGAATTGAAAAGTCATCGGTGTTGCCATCACTTGTTTGAACACTTGTGTCAGCATTATCGTACATGTCGTTAATGAGGATAATGTACTTCGTTGGAACTTTGTGTTTCTCCAAATCCACCATATGACATTCCGCGGTATCTTATCGAGTTATCATAGGACTTCTCCAAATCAATGAACACCATATACAGGTCCTTTTGTTACCTGTATCTCTCCACAAGTTGTCGTACCAAGAAAATGGCTTTCATGGTTGACCTCCCAGGCATGAAACCAAACAGAATTTTAGTCACGCTTGTTGTTGAAGATTGGTATTAATATTCCTCACCTCTATTCTTTAGGCATCTTGTATGACCCAAAAAAGAGGTTGAAAAGGTTAGTTAGCCATACTATTGCCGTCTCCAATGCCTCTCCACACCTCAATAGGGATACAATCAGGGCCCATCTCCTTGCCTCCTTTCATCCTTTTTAAAGCCTCCCTGGCCTCAAACTCCTGGATTCGTCGCACAAAAACGTATGTTGGCATCATCAAAGGAGTCGTCCAGCTCAATGGTAGAGCTCTCATTCTTTTCATTGAATATTTTGTCGAAGTGCTCTTGCCATCTATGCTTGATGTCCTCGTCCTTCACCAAAAGCCGATCTGCTCCATTCTTGATGTATTTGACTTGGTTGACATCCCTCGTCTTCATCTCTCGATCTTGGCCATCTTATAGAAGTCCCTTTCGCATTCCTTCATGTTTAATCGCTGGTAGAGGTCCTCATACACCGACCCCTTGCTTCACTCACAACTCGCTTTACTGTCTTCTTTGTCACCTTGTACTTCTCTATGTTGTCTGCACTCCTATCCAGGTGTAGGCGTCTGAAACATTCTTTCTTCTCCTTAATAGCCTTTTGGACATCATCATTCCACCACCAGGTATCTTTAGCTCGGCTTCTACTTCCCCTGATCACCCCAAATTCCTCTGAAGCCACCTTCCGAACGCAAGTCGCCATCTTCATCCACATATTGTTTGCATCACCCCCTTCCGCCCAAGAGCCCTCCTTAATAACTCCTTGAAAACATGAGTTTCCTCTCCTTGAGCTCACACCGCTTCGTTCTAGCGACTTTGGCACGCTTATCCTACTGGACACAAATCTGAAAGCGGAAGTCAGCACCACAAGCTTATGTTGAGGAACAACACTCCCCCTCCATGTATCACCTTACAATCTAGGCAAGCATGTCCGTCTTCTCTTGAGAGGACGAAATCAATCAGGCTAGGGTGTTGACCACTGCTAAAAGTTACTAGATGGGATTCTCTCTTTCCAAAGAGGGTGTTAATTACAATCATGTCGTAGGCTAAAGCCAAGCTTAAGACATTCCCTCCTTGATTCCTGCTGCCATAACCAAAGCCCCAAACCCACGCGAACATTGAGGTCTCATGCTATGAAGAGCTTCTCGCCAATAGGTACACTTCTAACCATGTCCCAGGCCTTCCCACAATTCCCTTTTGGTCCTCTCATTGTGGCCTACTTGCGGAGCATACACGCTCATAACATTGAGAACTAACTCCCCGACGACGAGCTTTACCAGGATAATCCGGTCCCTTGCTTGTTGACGTCTACCACTCCATACTTGAGGCTCTTGTTGAATCTGCCTACTCCATTTATGCTTGTAGTTCTCCCCTTGTACCATAGTTTGAAGCCGGTATCCTCCACCTCCTCCGTCTTCTGTCCCTTCCATTTGGTTTTTGGACTCATAGGATATCAACACTCCTCCTCATCGCTGTATCAACTAACTCTCGTGACTTACCCGTCGGGGACCCTACGATTCCAACTACCTAAGCCGATCCTACTAGGCCCAACTAGCTTCCTTGCCCATCGCACTCGTTGAGTCAAATGCGAAGACCCTTACTCATTTTTCGCTACACCTGAGTGTCGACGTAGCGCGCCACTAAGGATGTGATGATCCGATCCTTAATCACTTATAACCACATGCAGATCAAGATACGGCACGCCACCAAGGTCCAAGGGGTTATGGCCCGGCTCGTGCCCATTTGACACCACACCAGGGTTCCGATATGGCGCGTGGCGTCTGGGTTTCATAAGAGTGCTGAGTTTGGACGTTGGCTCGCCAAGTCTATCACAACCCTCCTCCTTTACCTGGGCTTGGGGCCGGCTATGTTGAGACATGTTAGAATTGAGTATTTGTGCACTTCGAAAGAAAATAGTATATGCACAACATGTTAGAACACATGCACCACTCAAAAAATTGAACATCAGCATGTTGTAATCATAAATACATGTGGTCAAATGCTTTCACAATTTTTCGCTAATCTATACATATGAAATGACATGTTGTAATCTGAATTTAAATACTTTGAAGACGAAACTTTCTGACAAATGTTGTGAAGTCCTATTTCAGCGGAAGGTTTCTATACTCGCGTAGGTTCCATGAAGCTCCCCTCTTGTAAATACTTTCTCTTACATACTCAAAATATTATATACTGTCGGGGTCTCCCAATCAATTTTCTTTCAAAATATGTTTTTTAATGCACACGTTTGATTTTCCAGAATTATGTACTACCCATAGAAGCACATATTTTTCCATTAACTAGTAGTGATACCATCCTCTTACTTAGGAATAGCACCTGTGGCGGCATAAATCATTATGAAATTTCAATGTCAAAGTTGATCATTAGTCACTTCAAACAGTGATCTTTCAGGATATGCCACTGTATAGTATGGAATCTATTACTCATGTGAATAGATTACATACAATGATCTTTCAGGAGTAACAAAAGCGGCGGGTGGCGACGCTGATTGGAGTTCAACTAGGATGGCAGGTGGAGCTAGCTATGCGTGCGTCTGACCATCTGTTTTCTTCTTTCTTTGTTTAGATGTGCGTTCATCTGGGTTAGATTAGGGGCATGGGTCAGTTAGTGGCCCCGTAAGTCAGTAGGGGTAACTTATGTCAAGTTTACAAATGCTGACACGTTTTTCTTCTGGTCAACTGGCCAAAAGAAATGGTTAACCCGCAGAGGTGTAACAGAGCGGTAGTTGTCATGCATTGTCAGAAGCTAGAATGGTAAAACTGAAATGTCAATTTTAAGAGTGGCATGGTCCAAATTTAGAGTGGCAGAAAAAAAATTCCGAGGCCAGTAGCATAACTTAGTTGACTTAGTGCTAAGGAGTTATGAACTAGTGATTAACGGCCATTTTATCAGTAAACATCAAATGTTCACAAAGTGCATATGTTATGTGAGCATTAGTTCAATACCATTTGACATCTGTTCATTCAGTTAGGAATGCAAAGCCAGCAATGCTCGCATCTTAAATAAAACTAGCAGCGATGATATGTGTGTATGTATGTCTGTAATCTATACATTTTAAGAAAAAAATGTATAACTGTCAGCTCAAGAAATTTATTGCAAACAAACAGATGAAATTAGGTTACTTACATATCCAAAACCTGCTGCCTTATAAAATGGAACCATGGTGTATCCTTTGCAGTTCCTTGCCAGAAATAATCTGATGTATGGAACTTCATGAATGAACGCGGCAATTCCGCCATTTTTGCTTCCCTTCGAGAGTGCACTGTAAAATCCGTCATAGGTACTATAGGTCTTGATCTTCGATTTGTCGAAATTGAGTTGTTCCAGTAGACTCTGGACGTAGGAACCATGAGTGCATCCTACATAGTCCCCACTTCTACGGAGGTCATGGATATCGGTTATAGTTGGATTTAGCTGTCTTATGGTAAGCATTGTTGCCAAATTTGCGGTGTAGCTTGCTGACAATACAAGGAAGAAAAACACCCATACAATCAAGACTATCCGAGATAGTAAGTGTCTCACTCTGTCTGAAATTTTTGATATGGAGTTCAATTAGTTTTTCAGTCATATGGAAGGAAAATTCAGGAACCACATAACTACATAATATAGATGAAAGTGATGAAACTTGATACGTAATTTTCTAGAGAGAATTCCTTATTTAACACCGTGTCTAAATTTTATGCCCTATTTAACATCGACAAACGATTTCTTCCCTATCTAACAAAGAGTTTAAATTTTATGCCTTTTATGACACTTTTGTCTATTTTGAGCCTCAATGACAACTGAAAAGACCCTTTTGCCCCTCATGTTTTATGTTTGTGCGCGCGTGTGTGCTGCTGATGTTGCGTGTGTGTGCGTGCGTGTGTGTGCTGCTGATGTTGCGTGTGTGTGCGTGTGTGTATGTGCTGCTGCGTGCCTGCGTGCTTGTGTGTGCGTGCGTGTGTATGCTGCTGCGTGTGTTGCTCGGTGTGTGCTGTCGCATGACTGCGTGTTTGTGTGTGCGTACATGCTGCTGTGTGTGTGCTGATGCGTGGGTGTGTGTTGTTGTGTGATGCGCGCGTGTGTGTGCTGTCTGCGTGTGTATGTGCTGCCGCTGCGTGTGTGCGTGTTGCGTGCGATGTGTATGTGTTGCCGCTGTGTGTTTGCTACTGCCCCGTACTGATATTGCATGTGTGTGTGCTACTGTCCCGCACACATACATATCACATGAAGGGCAAAAGGGTTTTTTCAGGTGTCATTTAGTCTTAAAATGGAAGAAAGCGTTATAAAGGGCATAAATTTTAGACTCGTTGTTAGATAGGGAAGAAAAAGTTTTTCAGTGTTAAATAAGAAAACAAAATTTAAGATAGTGTTAAATAAGGAATTGTTTCAATTTTCTACATGTGGTGCTTATTAAGTTTTTCAGATAGTGGGAATTATTTGCTAGTGTAGTTATCTTATGGCTCACGACGCACAGAGCAGGGTTCTGGACAAGCATAGCTGCAAATCCTGAACGTGTGGTTGAGAATCAAACTTAGATCATCAGCCAGAGACAAGAGGTACCACACCGAAGCTATTGTAGTGTTAATTATTCGTAATACGGCACTGTTTCTGTGACAAAACTATTGTATATAAGATACTGAAATGACGTACAAAGTAACCTGACCACTCGAGCTTTGTTTTATACACCCCAGGCCTATCCGTTAAGCTTCATGTACTAGACAATGCAACCAAAAGTCCGAACTGATGAAAAGGGCTAGGCAATCCACATATACACTTCAATACCCCCTCTCACGTGTGATGCGGGAAGTCAATACATGGATAGACTTAGAGGTATGGCTAAAGAGGCCTATACATGGACACAAAGGGGGGCAGCAGCAATTTTTGGATAAATTACGAAAGCCAGGACTTGAACTCAAGAAGGCCCTGATACCATGTTAAACTTCATGCACTAGCCAAAACAATCAAAAGTACGAACTGATGGAAAAGGCTAGGCAATCCACATATACGCTTAAACATATCCAACAGCAGGAGCATCTAGTTTTGTAAGCTATGTCTACACGTTCACGTTCTTGCATACTTGGAGCATCTCAGATTGTTGAGCATAGACCCAAGGTTTGTTCCCTACATTGGTTGTTTGCTCATCTAAGACATGGAGGCAACTGGATGCATGCCTATTTGCTACAACATTGTAACTTTGTTAGTTGCACCAAGAATGAAATAATGATTTTGGTGCAGCTTGATACTTCATGTCATATGTTATGTGAAAGTTAATTTTCTCTTAAGGAATAGAAGTATTTTGGTAAATGTACTTACTGTCTCCAAATAGAGAAAAAAATGTCATAATCCCGATGTTTCTCAGAACTTCTCCAGTAATATTTATGTTGTTTTCCAGAAGCTCCAATATGCAGACAACAAACCATGTGTAGAACAATAATCCGATGCTTCTGAGCCACAGGCCACGTGATAATGGCTCAACGAAAATCCATGCTTTGTTAGTTCTGCTGCTCTTGGCTGGAACAACCATTGCCACTCCTGATTCTGTGTACGGTAGAGTGAAATCGACGTAGGAAGTTCTGTTATGTGAGATTGTTATATCCCCAATTGCTACATCATATTTCTGCAAGGCATCAAACAAAATTTGCTTTACTGACCAGCACAATGATCGCTTAATCTTTATTATGAAAGCTGTAACTATTTCATAAGGACATGAATAGGTAAACTAAGAAGAGCCTAACTATGCCATGTTTCTTATCATGTACTCCATCTGTAAACTAGTATAAGATCGTTTGGATCACTACTTTAGTGATCTAAATGATCTTATATTAGTTTACAGAGGGAGTAAAGATGATGTGCATATTTCTCTGATATAGTACTATACCTAATGAGTTGCAAGCAACAGTTGACACGTTAATGCAATTTTTGCTACAATAACATAGTATCCCCTCTGTAAAGAAATATAAGAACGTTTGGATCACTAAAGTAGTGATCTAAACGCTCTTATATTTCTTTACGGAGGGAGTACCAAACAGTCACCTGACCCATAGTTAAGCATGATATGGTCGTTGTACAGACTATATAATAGAGAAATATGCCCCTGCTTAACATCTCCTCTCAATTGCAATTTATTTGAGCGGGCTGTGTGCCATTTCTTTTACATGGTTGCACTAAACTAAAAGTAGTAAATATATGTGTGAGCTCTTACATCATGGCATGCATATAAAATGTACTTTTAGCAAATTCAATGCGGAAGTTGAAGCCCTGTTGCGGTTATTACCTTAAGGTAAACTTGGTAAATAAAATCATCATAACCTCCACTGCTTGTGTCATTTGTAGTGCCAAATGCTACATATTCATAGGGTAGTGCATAGGGAAGTCTTTTAACTGCCTCTTCGAATACATCAATTGAAAGGCCACTTGCTTTAGTTGCCCCTGTGATTGGATCCTTTCCACTTGTCATAAATTGTGGGTATACACTTACGTGCACTCCTACTCGAAGCTTCTTCCCATTTACAGGAGCTTCCCACCCTCTCGGTATCTCTGTTGATTTTCCCGGCCAAATCACGGGGTTTAGGTCAGAAGCTAAGCCTGAATGATGTGGCATTGCTTCCCCGTGATATAGTCGCCGGGAAATACCATTCTCTGCAGTCCAAAACCCAATTTGTTGCCACCCTTTACCAACTACATTTATGATCTGAAATGTAGAGGCTTGCAGCTGCCTGCCAGAAAGGTCAAAATGACCACTCAAACCTCTAAATTTGTATTGCAAGATGGTCTTTAGGAGATCCGGTCCATAAACAGAAGTTCCCAAGCTTGTCATATTTCTTGCAACTGCTGGTTTTTGAAATGATGTTTTGTTCTTAATACCAAGGTTTTCAACTGCTTGTGCTACCGCCCATATAGTATCATAGCCCCAGAGTTCAAATATGGTTGGTTTCAGTGGTGGATCATTTGGGTTATCAATCTGTAATCTCCTGTTCCAGCGTATGGTGAAGTTATCCAGTTCTGCTGATTTAGGAGTATAAAATTTTACACCTAAAACACCATTCATTGCATCCATGACAGAAGGGTCCATGGAGTCTATGACATTGGTTAGTCCATCTGTCATGATCCATACGAATCCTTTCTTCATCATACCAACCTCTTTTGCCTTTGTGAAGAGGATCGACGCCAAATCAGGTGACATATGCACCACGAAGACCCTTGTTTGCATTGTCATTAACTTATAGAGTTCTTGGGTAATTTGTTCAGTAGTTGCTGACAGAGGGATCACACTCCGATAGGGAACACGGGCATCAATTTCTTGGAGGGCGTCGATGAGATATGGTATGACACCTCTACCATAGTCAGTTTCTTCATAAATTGGCACCACCTGTCTCCACCCGTAGGCCTTAATTAGGGAGGCAATGCTATTCACTTGTGTAGAGTCACTCAATGTTGCACGAACAAAATATGGAAGACTGCCAGAGTAAAGAGATGGGCTTGTTGCTGTGAAGGAGATGACAGGGACCTGAGTTTTATTCCCGAGATCCGATACAAATGCTGCTTGTGAAGATGTTTGAGGGCCTATGATAACTTGGACACTGTAATTCTCTAGCAGGTCGAGAGCTGTGAAGTTGCATAATCAAATTTTAGTTGAATGCAAATTTGTGGCTGCCAGAAGCTTCGTAAATTCCGAATCGAAGAGTGAAGCAATGCCGTATGGTATTTACTCAATATATGTTCGTTCATAGCACTCTATAGCGTGTGTTTCTACTGTCCTAGCAAACTTACACTTGTGAAAACAGGATTGCAAATTTTTACCAATTTACAGATGAAGCTGCAAATTTGAACCCACAATCTTTGTATGAATGTAGCAAACCATGTCGTCATACAATGAATGATTACAGTTCGCTCTGTTCACATGAGTTGCTTGTTTTTAAACATGGCATTTATCGTGTTCCTGCATTACTAGTTATGCTGATAAATAGTGTTTATTTTACATTGGATTTCATCACAAAACTTTTAGAAGCCTCTTATGGAGTATATTCCGTGCTCTTTTACTACAATAACAGTTCTAAGCAATGCTTGATTCCCCTTTTCCATTTCAGGTCATCCTATCATGGGGATATTTCCTTGATCCATCTGGAGGATTGTTTGAAGGTATTTTGGTGTGATTTTTCCATTGGAAGTGAACTTCATATTTCCATTGAAAAAAAAGTGTCCTCACATAGAAAGATGACTGCTAATAACGGCATTCTGATTTTAAGTCCACTTGTTATGTTCTGATTTTTGCCAAAAAAGGTTTTCGCCCCGCTTTATATATAAAGCACCGATCATCAAGCACCCAGTACAAACACACGCTACCGCAACACACGCACACACCCAGGGCAGGATACATAGGCGCTGAGCGCAGCAACACCACCCCTAGCACTGCCACCACGAAGAGATGAAGCTACATATGACGAACCATGTGTTCCAAGGCGGCGTCTTCGGGAAGGGTACGACACCGAAGCGCCGCCACTGCTCGATCCTAGTATCAGAGTTTTCCCTGGAGCCGCATGACGGGCAATGAGAGCCGCGACGACGCCTTCAAGAAGGGAACGATCTTCGCCGCCGCTGGTCCGTCCGAAAATAGAACAGGTTTTCACCTCGGCCAACACTCACTGCCATCGAACGCCACACCTCGGCAACCATGCGCCCACACGGCCATGGTGACCGGGCAGCACCAAGGCACGGGCTCTCTGCCCAAGAGCACCGTGCTACCACCACCAGGGCCACCGCCTCGGCATCCAAGACCTTAACACCACCTCACCCGAGACCCGCCGCAACCCCAACAAAAAAGACGAGCGGAAAGGTCCCACCTTTCGTACCCCTGGGCGACCCCCAGCGTCGAGACCCAACAGGCCGGCCAGAACTGGCATCCACCGACCCGTCCTGTTACCCCGAGCGCGAGACGACCTCGGTCCTGCAGCACCGGGAGGGGGACGAGGTCAGTCCTGCTGCACCGTGCGCGAGACGAGCTCAGTCCTGCAGCATCGGGAGGGGGACGAGGTTAGTCCTGCTGCACCGTGCGCGAGACGAGCTCGGTTCTGCAGCACCGAGCGCGAGACAAGCGATGGACCACAACTGGGAGAGGACCAGCCCTTTGATGGGAATAGCGCCCGGGCGACGAGGAGATGGCGAAGGTCGAGACGGTCCGAACACAGACGAACCGACGCCAAAGCAGAGTCCGGTCGTCGCCGTGGCCGAGACCACCGAACCATCGTGTAGCCGACACGTCACAGGAAGGTCGCCGCAAAGCCAGACCTCATCGTGTCGCCGCCGCCCACGACCAGAGCAGCCACCACGCTGAGCAACTGCCCACCCGCACCATCCGGCAGGATCCACGCATCAGATCCGGCGCCATCCACCACCATCTTCCACAGAGCCGACCACGAGGTGCAGCGGCAACCAATTCCACCGCCAGCCGAGCTCCCACGCGAGCCGAACCAGCCCGGCCGCCGTTGAGCCCAAGTCTCCCGGAGGCACACCAGGAGCCAGATCTGGGCATGCCCAGCCATGGCCGCCGGCGCCCTGGCCACCCTCGCGGACACGGAGCCGCCCGCGCAGCCACCATGACCAGGCGGCGTCGCCTGCCGGCCGGTCGCCGCGCCGCCACGCCCCCGCACGCGCCGCGCCTCCACCTGGATGCGTCGTCCCGCGCCACCCGCTGCCAAGCAAAGAGGAGAGGCCGCCCCACCGCCGCCGGCGGCAACCGGGCTTTGCCCGGCCGCGCCCTCGGGCGGCGGCGAGGGAGGGGGGAGGGGGAGGAGGCGGGGTCTCCGGCGGCGGCGGTTAGGTCTCCTCCCGTGACGGGAGCCTCTCTGTTTCGTCCTCTGTTTTCGTTGCACTGTTACTCTGATTTTTTGTGAATAGAAACTGTTGATCAGTGAATCTCTCTGTTACTCTGTCAGTACGGAGAGAACAGTCCAGATAGGAAGGGATCAACACCATGGCTCTGATCAAGCAACCGGGTTACCTTATCATAAAAAGCACGCTAAAGCACTTGCCCACCAAAGATAGCTATCCATTGTCGAAAATTTATATGATGAATATGCCGTACGATTAAATTTCACAAAATACAGATGACCATACATCTGAAAACATGAATAAATCTATAATCTCTGGGTACTGAAATTTGAACCCAGTCAATTCACAGCAATTAGGTGGCTAACGGGATTACATCCGGGTCGGAACTAGCAGTAATCATTTTTGTTGTTAAGGTTTCTCAGACCAGCGAACTTATCAAGGATAAGCTAAGCTAAACATAATTGGGTTATTAAATATGTATGCACTAACCTTTATGAGAGTAAAACTCATAATATTTCCTTGCAAAAAAGTGTTGTAAATATTTCTCGGTAATAGTAACTTAGGTCATCTCCAACTCGGACCCCTAAAATGGACACATGATCCGTCCGCGGATGCATCTGCGGACATGGATACGGGAGGCGGCTATCCAACCGTGTACGTCAAACGTCCAGAGACATTTCAAACGGAATCTGAACAAACCGAATGATTTTCATGCAAATCGGATGATTTTCATTTAAATTTTGTTAGGAAATATTAGTATTGGTCTAAGAGTCCTTATTAGACTACGTTTCCTTTCCTTACACCTCAAGTCTTGCGTGATACGAGTATATATATGCCCCTTGGGCCTTCAAGCGGTTGCTACAAATCAGCCGGTTGATTTGTTACAAAATTAAGCCACCTAGCCAGCCGTCCGATCTGACGGATACTGGCCGTGCAATCGCAGCAAACGGAGTCAACGTCTTCCTCCTTTGTTCTTCCATCCACCACACACATTATCCAACATCTGCACACGACCTCGCGGCATCGGAGCCGTCGGCAACCACTGCATCGCAACACCGAGAAGCCATCCGGGTGCTGCTCAAATGGCAACGCCAAGCGCGACGAAAAAAGCTTCAGCGCAGCAGCTTCCATGGCAGCACCGTGTGGCGCGAAGCACCGGCGATGCTCCATTGCAGCCCCAGCGCAGTACATTGCAATCCCCGGCAGCGCTCCATTGCAACCCCCGACGAGCTTCAACGACCCCGTGGCGCTTCATCGTAGCTCTAGCATGCTTCAATGCAGCTCCGGTGCTCTTCATTGCAGCTCCGGCATGATTCAATGAAGCTCTGGTGCACTTCATTGCAGCTCCGGCATCGCTTCAATGCAGCCCCGACTGACCTTTAACGACTCAAGTGGTGCTCCATTGCAGTCTTCGGCAGCACTCCATTGCAACCCGTCGAACTTCACTGCAGCAACACGAGCAGAGCACATCGCGTCGGACGCCGACAGCACGACGAGCGTGTCACGTTGGATGCCGCTTTGCAGCACCACGAAGCGTTGCTGCCCCTGCGAGATCCATGGTCAGCTGG